ATAGCTAACTGTTAAAGTAAACTTTTATTGCGTTCATGTTTTTTTTGTATGCCGCCCTCTATCTGCTCTTTTGTTCTTTTTCACTATATTATGTATCATAGGGGAAAATAAATTCACCAGTCTATGTCGAAACGTTAATCACCGCGGATGTGTTTTATTTCCTCTCTACAGGTTATGGGCCCAGAGAGAATAGACTTATAATCTATATACATCGCGAAAATTACGAAAAAAGAAGTTTGCGAAATTGTATCAGTTGCATCGTTCGGTAGTCGTCGTGATAAGAAGATTCGTCTAAATCGTGTCGATGCAAGAAGTTAAATAATTGTTCGTACGGAATACGGTTACTACGCATTTTTCGTAAAAGTTCGTCTTTTCGTGTGCGGGTTGTAACCAAGTTCGTTTTTATTCCTCTTGAACGATTACTAACAATAAGGTGTCTAAAGGACAAGGCGGTTTGAAGACGCAGATAGAAATAGAATCGATTTCACACAATAATGCATGGTCATCGATGGAAAAGCTGCGTGGGAGTGAAAATTATCACACTTAGAGTTTTGCGATAAAGACACTGCTGGAATTGCATGGACTCGATAAATGCATTATTACAGGTGAAGGCGCCGAAACAGATGTCAACAAAATAAAATAGGCAAAGGCACGTATAACTTTTAGCGTAAGTCCATCCATTTATGTACATTAGGGTGGACCTTATTTTTGACTTTTGAATTTTTTTCACGACGCCCCCTAAAGTTGTTACATTTGGTGAAAAAAAAAATTGTGTAAAAGCTGAGCTCGATCGGACAACGGGAAGATGTGGCACACCTAACTTGAAGTTTTTAAATTAATTTTCGGAACACTTTGTAAATATCAAATGGCAATATTTCCGTAATGTGCTTCAGAAAAAGAAAGAAAAAGAGAAAAACACCTAAGTGAATTATGCAATTATTAACTCTCAATTTAAAATTATTTTAAATTTTATTATAGTATAGATTTATGATTTATCTTCTTGAAATTTAGTGCATGAAAATTTTATAATTCAAAAACTATCGACGAATAAGAATTTTTCTCCTAAACTTTCTAAAAAAAGTAATTGCAGCTTGTTCAATAAAATTGATATAAAATTCATATGGAAATTGTGAAAACGCTTAAAGTCGTAAATGACACAGCAGAACGAGAAGTTAAGCTTATGCAGGATTTTTATCAAATTTTGTCGAGAAATGAGGAAAAAAAAATTCATTTTTCATATCGTGACCCATAAAGAACTCAGTATCCAAATGTCCAAAATCTACTCTTAAAAAGAATTTATAAAATTACAATAGATTTAAATATTACAATGGATTGTAAAATATATAGATGCAAACAATATATTGATATCTTTATTTTCCTGCTTGTTTATAAATATAAAAATACGATATATTCCGTATATAGTTATACACATGTATAATACATATACGATATATTTTGTTAAAACGATTTAAATATACTATATTTATTAAAAAACTATCATTGGTCAACATTTACTAAGAAAATCATTTAATCTTTATTCAGAATTCTTTTCATCGGATTTCCCCATTTTTTATGAAAAAAATATTTGTTTCAACTTTAACAGGATTGTGCCACGTCTTTCCGT